AGGACCAATCGACCGAGCCTCTGGAGGGTTAGGGTAGGACTAGTCTACCTAGTCATATAGTAGCATAGTGCACAAAATTATCTGCTACAATATCCTACCTGTCAATGACTACTTCAGCTTAAACCGCAACAATGCATGAGCTCACAATATCATGTTTTCCTGAAAATAAGACTTCCCTGGATAATAAACTCAATCAGACTTTTGAGTGCATGGGTCAAAATAAGCCCTCCCCCCAAAATAAGCCCTCCCTGAAAATATTGCAACACAGCAGCAGCCATGAGGTGACCACACTCGTCACCTCCTGCACCTCAAAAATACTAAAGACCAAGTGCTTATTTTGGCAGTCAAAAGAAAATAAGACCCTGTCTTATTTTCAGGAAAACATGATATTGTGAGCTCATGCATTGTTGCGGTTTAAGCTGAAGTAGTCATTGACAGGTAGGATATTGTAGCAGATAATTTTGTGCACTATGCTACTATATGACTAGGTAGACTAGTCCTACCCTAACCCTCCAGAGGCTCGGTTGATTGGTCCTACCCATCATCAACTGCCAGAGAGTGATCAACTGCAGCCAAGCTGGCAGGAAGTCAGAGGTTTCTCCTATTCCCACTATTTGTTTTGCCCTTGTTCATTCCGTTTTTCTCTTTAAGTAAGAAATCTCTCTGAAATAATGACTTAATGAGTCGGAGGTTGTTTAGTGGTTCATATTTTCATAGGCAGCTTCCCAGGTTAAATCAATGATGCTTAGAAAGCAACCAAACAATCCTGATCTTTCAATTTGGGTTTAATGTGCTCCTAGTACAATAGTATTCTGATGCTGCCTTCCTGCCCCCCCCCCCATCCTCACTCCAAAAGAGCACTTCCAGATAGATACAGTACTTAATAAAGTCATTCAGTGACAACAGCAGAAAAAGAACTTACAGTAACTAAGAACGAATAAAGTAACATCTTCCAGCTTACCTTTGAATCATGTGAAGGAGCCCCACATAAAATCTCTACACTGCATGTTTCACAATGAACCTTCCCAAGATGTTTAGCATGAAAATGATACCTCAGAGCTGCACGGCTAACAAAGTCATTCCCACATCTCTCACAGTTATATGACTTCTGTTTTACACCCCACATCCTGTAAAAAACACAGAACCATGCTTTTACTTTTGATCATAATACAGTACAATAATATATCTCCTATATGCACAAGAGCAACCAAATCTGAACAAATTTCCAAAGATGTCAGATAGTCTTCATATTTAGAATCAAACTGATTCAGTTCTGATCAGCTTGGAAACAGTGAAACTATCTAGAATCCTAAACTATTTTTTTAAAGAATGCTGATTTCTTTTACAGATTCATTTTTGTGTCCCTGGTTTAAAAGGACAATTGGAAAGGAGACATTTTCTGTCAAAAAGAAATCTTACTTGCCAAAGCCATTGTGTCCTTATTTCATGCAAGTGTGTTTGTTTCATTATTGCCCAGTTACACTGCCAGCTGGCCAAATCATTTCTGTACCACCCCCACTGGCTTGGAATTGTGGGTGTTGTAGTTTATGTTACCTTAGTAAGAGACTTGGGAATTTGGCTTCATAATAAACTTGGCTCTAATAGCATTGCAATAATAGCTATAAACATGCAGTGTGCATTGCAGCTCCTTTAGGGCTCTTGCACATTTTACAGTGCCTGGAAGAAGAGTTTGATATGAGACCTTAGTCCATATTATTTATTTATTGTCAAATTCCAGATATTTTGAATAATATGCAAATTGAAGTTTTGGAGATGTGGGCAATGCATTATCACCAATTATTGGGTGTGTTTTTCTCCCATATTCCCACCACATAAATGGTTTGATTGCAGTGTGAAGAAGCTGGCAGCTCGGTTTGCTTTGTTAGGCAAGTTACAAGTAAAAAAATTGATTCTGTAAATTAAGATAAGAAGAAAACAGGAATGTGATCTCTTTCTCTTAGTCTACTTCTGCAGCCTTAAACAATGTATACTAAGTAAGCCATACTTTGGTTAAGTCATGGCCTGACGAACAAATCATCCACTTGGGTAGATATACACATGTTATTGTTTGTTCAGATGATATGAATTGCCTAGAATTATGTAGAGAATATTAATATTTTTAGCCAATGTTAATAATAAAAAATAATTTGGAGTGTTCAATGTGGCCAGGCTCACACAACATGCTAACTCCAAATAAATCAAGCCATATTGTACATTAAGTCTGATACACGAACCTAGTTACTGCCTTATTGCCAGACCAGATCATTCGCCCGCCTCCCACATCACTGCCTGTATGATTCCAGGGCTGCCCTTCAGGACTTCAAGTACTCTGAATGAGCATATTAAACATTAATCTGTGAGGGTTTTGTTAAAATTTCAGGTGTTCAGAAAACCTCAGGCTTCTACTATCTGCTTTAAGTCAGGATGATTTTTAAGCTGTCATTGAGTACAGAACACTGGTCAGCTGAGAATTCTCAGACCCTGGAATGCTAGCTGGATAAAGGCTGGTGATAGAATCAGAACCAGAAGCATAAGAACAAGGGAGCAGGGAAATCATTCCTCTCTGAGTCTTGAATTCAGCTGCTTGAGATAGCAAGTAAAATATTTTTATATTGCCCAGACTAATGTGAATATTGATGTCATTCATTGTAAGAAGATACCAAAAGGAGGAATTCTGTCCAGTCTTGCCCAGAATAGGAAGAGTTGGTGTTTTGTTTTTTTTTTGCCACATGTATATGAAAATTTGATTTTTTGGATTTTTCGATTATCTATGCAAGTTTATCACAATGTAAGGCAATTTGATAATTACATCAAAGAAAAGAGACCCATACTACTTTATAAAGCCATTTGGGAGAAGTTCTTTTATTTAAAATATTTTTTTTATTTCCATTTTCATAACATAAAATCACATGTATACTATACATAGCCAG